ATAGAGCATATTGTGATTTATAAAGAAATGTAAAGTTTTTTAGAAATACCAGCTTTTAGCTAAAGGGATTATTCCGAAAAAATGAAAATCGGGCGAACTAGGTACGCTCAATTTTTGTATGTGGAGGAAGCCTGCTTATGCAAAAATAACGAATGAATAAAACAGCACAGGTAGAATTATTTTTGAAAATAATCGTTTTGTAGAATTTACGGATGCATATGCTTCCACGTTACGCACAATGATATGTATGGCTGTCACCGAGGAGCCCAACTTTCACCGAATGGGAGATCACAGGAATAAGATATTCCGTAAGCTCACGTGTGGACATGCCGGTCAATGTGTAATACATATGAATGGAATTGTCAGTTGCAATCGTTAACATGCCATTTTTGTACACTAAGAGAAATTTTCTTCCATTATGTTTCTTTGTAATTATTTTGGAATTCGATTACGACGAGGTTCAGATCTTTCTTGAAATGGTGATGAACGCTTTACGATATTCACCTGCTTCAGTCGATTCGCCATAAATAAAGATTGTATTTTAAATGCTTAGACGAGCCTTCAAAATAAGATATATCTTAAAAGCAGTTACCTTTGTTATGCAGCTGTCTGTTTGGGTTATGGTTTCAGAATCACCCAAACATGTCAACTCATTGCCGAGGAAAATGAAGGCTCACAACAAAATGCCTAGGATTAATTTAAAAACTATCTATAATAAGTTACCTCTTGAAAAGTCACTCTACTTGGATATTTCTGTGTCAAATGTCTGTGTAGGTTAGTTTTTGAAGATATTGTCGAGATCAGAATAGAAAATTTTGGCCAGTTTTTTTACTCCCCTAATTATTGGGGATACATATGCTGCTGTAAATGAGAGAATTCCCTTTTCCATGTATAAAAAAGCAGATTTCATTACACTGTTTTACTTCTAGGCTCATTTCAAAGATAATAAAAGCAGATTAGGGTGGCAGAATATCAACGATGATTTTGAGAGAACTCATTAACTTCTGTCCGTTCCATTTCCAGTTTTTCTATTCATTGACTCCGTTCAATTGACAGAACATGCTTGGTCATCCTTTGCATACGGCTTGACAGAGAAAATTGACGGCGTGTCTTGGCTGTTTGTATATATGCTTGTTTATGGTTGTTATTTTGGTAGGATAAAACAAATTACAGTCTTATAGGTTTATTACTTAATTTCATGGCACTCAGCTTAGCAGATATGCAAAATAGAATTTCCTAAAGATAATTCGCTCTTCTTTTCCCAACAATAATGCCTAATCTCATAACTACATTTGCCTCAATTTCTTGGCGTCAAAACAAATTGTCTGTCCTCTGAACACATATAATTAAAAAATTCTGCTTTTTACAAATGTTCTTTTATAGTACAACACTTAAAAATAAGGACCTTTTTCCGCAGAGTTTAACAGCGTAGGAACTTCCTTGGAGATCAATAAACGTTGCCCTGCCAGCACAATTCCCGTTTAGCCCCACTTAGGGCGGGGGTTAAACGGGGGTAAACGGGGATATA